CTCGTCTTTCCTCGCTTACCTACCTTGCCGCGACTTATCCTATCCACCTATCCGCCTGCCTACTTATCTACCTACCTAACCACCTACCGATTCGACTATTCGTCTGCATTTACCAGCCGTGTGATCTTTAATTTGGTAGAATTTCTCTCGGCTTCGTCTTGCGATCGTCTTTCCTCGGGAACGGGGGAAGGGTGGACAAGCAACGGGCACCCCTTTCCGTTCTGGCCTATAAAGAAAACTCGCACCTTTCGGGCGGAATCTCCGATAGGAGAATACACGCGCAGTACACCTCGACACCGATACAACGATGGGGCAGGTGAAGTAGAAGACAGCTGCTGTACTGCTGTACTGCAGTATGAGACTGCTGGACAGCTGGACAGCTGGACCGATATCCGTTTGCAGGTAGCAGAACGGCTCGGTCGCGTTCGTAGCTAAACGATCGAACGGAATCGCGACACGTTCACGCTCGCTCCGAGGATAGAGTTTAGCATCGGGTTAAGGGCTTTCGATGCTCTACGTTCAACCGCATCCACCACTTCCGCTCGTGATCCAGAAAGTGTCCACGGTCGTTTGGTGCATATACACATAGTATAGGTACATGGGTGTCTAGCGCAGATATTTATTGTATAGAGATACGGGTATATACGCAGGTATACCCTGGTTCGGTATTTCGAAACCGTTCGGATGCGCCTCCAGACGCAGACCCTTGGAAAGCTTCGAGAGCGGATCGTTTTTCCTACGGTTCTCACGAAAGAACGTGGCCTATCGAAAACGGAAGAGTCTCGGTAGATAGGGACTAGGCTTGCGAGGAGAGCGCGGTGGAGGATTGCGCAAGTCTCGATTCGCCGCGACTCGCCTGCGATACGCTGACTCAGACGGGTGAAATGCAGCGCGGGTGTTTCGCGATAGTTGTGCATATATCTATCGACTCGTTTCGCAAGTGGTAGGTACAGCTCTGGTAGGCGGTCGTGTCTCTTCAGCGATCCTCGTTTGCGGAAAATTCAGGCCTGAAGCGTGGATACGCGCGATCCAAGTGGATTAAGCAGGTTCGTCCGAAATAGAATTTTTTCGATCCGTCGTCTCGCTAGACGAGGCGACGATTGCGTCCTCAGCAGCAGGCATGCTTTCCTTCTTGTAAATACATCGCGGTGAAACGTTTAGTATTCTCGTGTTGCAGCTAGCATCCGGTTAAGTGGCGACAGCCGCTCCCAGCAATCGCGTGCGCACACGACCACGCTCGTGTTCCTTCGATTCTCTGGCTCGATTCCATTTTGCATCTCCGCGGCAAGCGGCTCGACGGGCCTTGACGGGTCAACGGTTTCGCCCCGACCCTGACAAACGCTGCGACGCTGCGACGCTACTCGCAATCTCTTCTTCGG